TAAAATCAAGAACCACTGTTAATCTCCCAGTAAATCCAAGGATCATGCTTTTTCTGGAGTCCATAGCCACTTCCATTTCTCTGCAAGTTCATTACTGTCCAACTTTATTCCTTTGTTACCACCATGCCCCACTAATTTTTTTATTTTTAGTAGAGACCAAGTCTTGCTTTTGCTCAGGCTGGTCTTGAACTCCTGGCCTCAAGCAATCCTCCCACCTTGGCTTCCCAGAGTGTGTCAGTATATTTTAATTGATGCAAAGAAATTAATTGGCCTAAAATCTTTCAGGGCTGGGTGCAGCAGCTCATGCCTATAATCCCAGCACTTTGTAGGGCTGAGGCAGGAGGATCGCTGGAGGCCAGGAGTTTGAGATCAGCCAGAGCAACATTATGAGACCCTATCTCTACAAAAAATAGAAAATTAGCCAGGCATGGTGGGCACACACCAGTAGTCCCAGCTGCTCGGGAGGCTGAGGCAGGGGGATCGCTTGAGCCCAGGAGTTTGAGTTTGCCTCTAGCTGGGGCAACATAGTAAGACCCTGTCTCAAAAACAGGAAATAATCTTTTAGATATTATAGTTTGTATATTCAGAGGGTAAGGCTTAAGCACAAGTTCTTCGTTCTTCTTGGTGGGATATATAGCAATTTTTAGGACTTTAAAATTCACCTTCACTCAGAAAAGAAATATAAGAAGTTATTGATTCAGTTGCAAATTTTTAGATTTGCTTAAGAATTTTTTTTAAAAAAGTGCACACATACAGTATAAAAACCTTTGTAATTTCAAATAAATATTTTTAGTCTTTTGAATGAATTTGGTTTTAATTACGTTTAAAAGCTTGAAAATGACCTTTGTAACAATGCATCATTCTTTGTCACATGAAGTCAGGTATTGAAATACATTTTTTTCCTAATGTTCAAATACCCAAAACACTGTAAATGCTTTCTTTTTCTTTTCTTTTCTTTTTTTTTTTTTGAAACATTGTCTCATTCTGTTGCCTTGGCTAGAGTGCAGTGGTGTCGTCATAACTCACGGCAGCTTCAAACTCCTGGGTCCAAGAGATCTTCCTGCCTCAGCCTTCCGAGTAGTTGAGACTACAGGCGCATACCACTACGCCAGGCTAGTTTTTCTCTTTCTTTTTTTTGAGGGGCAGGGCGGGGGACAGGGTCTTGCTCTTGCTCAGGCTGCCCTCAAGCTCCTGGGCTCAAACAATCGTCCTGCCTCAGCCTCCCAGCCTACTAGGATTACAGTCATAAGCCACCACATGCCTAGCCTATTTTTCAATTTTATAAATATAAAAGCAATGAATTTTACAACACTGACATTTAACTAATACAAAATATTATCAACCCAGTTCATCATAACACAGTGAAGTTTATTTTGAAGAATATGTGCTAGAGGCATTTAGAACTTACCACTATGTACTGGAATGAATTTTAATAAAGTTTATCAAATATCCTGTAGACTTGGACTTTTTGAAAAAGCACATAATCCCTTTAGTTCCTGTGTTCTAAAGTTCATTCCTTACAGTCCTCTTTAAGAACAAGTTTATTGATTTTGCTGAGTTGTTCTATCCTACCTATTAGGGACTGAATGTTTGTATCTCCCCCAAATTCATATGTTGAAGCCCTAACCCCCAATGTGATAGTATTTGGAGATAGGGCCTTTGGAAGGAAATTAGGGTTAGATAAGGTCACGAGAGTGGGGCCCCCATGATGGGATTTGTGTCCTCATATGAAGAGACATAGGACTCTCTCCACCATGTGAAGTTACAGCAAGAAGGTAGTTGTCTGCAAGCCAGGAAGGGAGCCCTTACCAGGAACTGAATCTTCTTTTTTTTTTTTGAGTCTAGCTCTTGTTGCCCCAGGTACAGTACAGTGGCATCATCATAGCTCATTGCTACCTCCAACTCCTAGGCTCAAGCGATCCTCCTGTTTCAGCCTCCCGAGTAGCTGGGACTACAGGTGTGCACCACCACGCCTGGCTCATTTTTCTATTTTTTGTAGAGACGGGGTCTCGCTCGTGCTCAGGCTAGTCTTGAACTGCTGAGCTGAGGCAATCCTCCCACCTCAAGGCTGAGTGCTAGGATTACAGGCGTGAGCCACTATGCCCTTCCAGGAACTGAATCTTGATCTCAGACTTTACGAGGCTCTAAAAATGTGAGAAATAAATTCCTATTTAAGCCACCTGGTCTATAGCATTTTGTTAGAACAATGTGAGCTGACTAACCACGCTGTTAAGATGAACCATATAACATTGTCAATAGTTGACGATTTTTACCCATAAAAATAGTTATTTCATATGGTTCAACCTAATATCAGTACTTGGTCTTGTCTGTTCGTAAGGTTGGACCGAGTTGACAGATAGGAAGAAGCGGGTCCGGCAACACAGTACACTCTGAACCTGACGGGAGGCAGTCCTGCTAATGAGCTAGAAATAATTTTTGCAGAAAAGCAAAAACTTACCAGTCACCTATATCATATCCATCAACCAAGTGAGAAAATCAGTGAAACGTAATGGGTTTGAGGAAACTTTTAGGGGTAAATGTCAAATGATTTCAAATGTTCAGGGTTTTCCTAATGTAGGGGAATAAAGAAATTCCCCCGGAATCTTTGCTGTCGTTTGGCCTTCTGAGAATGGCTGTTGAGCTTCATATTCACGTCCAGGAAGCCTTGACGCACGTCCCCTTTGGTGAGTCAGGGAGGCCCAGGAACCTGGGTTGTGAGCGGCTCCCTAGGTCCGAGGGGACTTGAGTGCCAGGGACTGTGGCTGTGGGCCGATGGTGGCCTCTGTTCCCTCCAAAACAGTCCAATTAAAAATGCTCAGCCTGGTGGCTCCCCTGCTCTTCT